TTTCTTTTTTTTAAAGCAAATTACTTAATTGTATTTTTATGGCAGGAGGGAGAAAAAGTGTTAGAACGGTTTCTAATGAAGTCAGATATTTAAATGATGAATGACTAATGTGTTTAGTAGAGACAAAATAAACCAATAAATGATAAAAAAAAAGAAAAAAAGAAAAAAAACCACATACACACGCATGCACACACATTAAAACTGACTTTGGGTTCCAACTATAATTACATTTTCTTTTTTCATTTATTCCATTTTATTCTATTTATCTTTATTTTCTAAGAAATATGTTTCAAAATCTATGTGTCAAAGAATCTTAGAAGCAAATTTCTTACTTTTTCAAAGGCTAATATAAAATTTGTGTTTAAAAAGAATATAGCTGAGCTATCAAGGAGGTAAATTTAATACACAGCCTAATTTAATGAAAGCATTAATAATCACTCAATCAAAAGCTTAATGTTTTATTATAAGTAATAAAATCCAGATACTCTAAAAATCTTCTAGACATATTCTTCTTCTCTCTTAAAAGAAAAGAATCATAGAGGGGCCAGTAGGTGGCGTGGTGGCTAAGGGTGCTGGACTCCCACATGGCCAACCACAGTTCAGGTCCCAGACCTGGTGGCTTGCTTTCTCACCCCCACCCCCACTCCATCCCTCTCTGGTCAAATAAAATAAATAAATAAATAAAAAGTTAAATAAAATAATTTTAGGGACCAGCAAGTGGCATGGTGGTTAAGGTGCTGGACACTCCCACATGGCCAAACGTGGTTTGAGTCCCGGACCTGGCGGCTTCCTTTCTCCCTTTCCTCCTATCTCTCTCGCTCTGTGTCTCTCTCTCTGGTCAAATTAAAATAAATGAATGAATAAATAAAATTTAATAAATAATAATTTTTAAAGAAAAAGAATCATATTCAGGCAGGTACTGGATAAACTGAATTCTTTGTTTGTTTTCCCATGAAAACCAGAAGTGACACTGCAAATCTCTTTATTAATAGTACATTGCAGGGACCAACAAATAGTGCAATGATTCCATCACTGGACTCCCACGTAGTTGACCGTGGTTGACTCTTGGACCTGGTGGCTTAAAATTCATGCTGGGTATGTGTGTGTGCATGCCCAAAATCCCAAGAGGAGAATGGAGAAGAAGGGACTGTGGCATGGCCTTCCCTCCTGGAGGGTGATTTCTCACTTTCTGTCTCTTTGTCTCTCCAGTGAGCGCACCTATGCTATAGCAAAAATCTCTCTGTAAAAATCAAAACAAACAAAAAAGAAAAAAAAAAAGCCACTACATTGCAAACAAGCAGCTACAATCAAGTGTTAGTCAATTTTCTCTACAAATATGCCCCATCATTGGTCACTTTAAGCACTCTGATCATTTATGTATTTATTTTGGAGAGGTTTTTGCTATAGGGCATGTGTGCTCACCAGAGAGACAGACTGAGAGAGACAGAAAGAGAGAAATCACCCCTCCCCCTGGGGGGGGATGCCCACACTGCAATCCCTTCTCCTTGGTTCTCTCAGGATCTTGGGCACACACACACACACACACTCCTGGGGTGAGTTTAAGCCACAGGGTCCAGGACTCGAATCACAGTGGACTACATGGGAGTCCAGCAACATAGTCATTACACTAACTGCTAGTCCCAATCATTTATTTATTTAAAAAGAACATTTCTGATTGACTGATACAGGCAATAAGATTTTTACTGAAGTATCTATTTGGAATTTAATAAACAAAATAAATGACAGGCCTCTAAAACCCAATGTAATGTAAATATAACGTGATTTTAAGTGATGATATGGAAGTTAAGAGAAACCGATTTTACTTTTTAATTTCAAAGTAACAGGTTAACTATAGCTACTCACACTATAAAGGTCTCTTGTTTCTTCTTTCATTTTAGGGATCTCAAGAAGAAGAGCCCAGACTTCACCTCTGAGCTGGAGTGGGATTCCTTTGTAAATTCTCCTATGAAACTTAAAAGAAAAAGAAACAGAAGGTGACAAACTGACAAAAGTGTAAGAGTAGTCATTTCAACCAATGTCATTCATATTTGTTTAGTCTTTCATTTTCAAAGGATTCACACTAATGATACATTAACAGAGCACACAGAGATCTTCCTGACACTCTACTCTGTTGACCCCTAACAGAGTGCAGACATGGGAAGAGAACACACACAGACAGGAAGAACAGCCCATGCATCGGTGTGTACCCACCATCAGGGAAATGTCCCTTAAGCAACATGACAATCAGTGCTCTCGTTAGCTGTGAACATTTGATTTACGTCCCCAGTTGTTATAATCAGCCAGTTAAGCTCTGTCTACTCATCGACCCCTACCCTAGACCTAAAAGATTCTCCAAATTGCAGAAATAGCCTGTGCTTTAAGAGTCCTCATGGAATGGTTGTTTAACCACTAATCTCTTCCTTATCACTTTTTCTCTGGGTCTCTCTCAAACATGTGAAGCTCCTTCCATCTACTGGGTTGTTGGACAAGTCCTGGTGTATTTTTCTACAGAAAAATTGGTCATGGCTGTTTTGTTTTTGTTTTTGTCTTTTTTTTTTTTTCTTTTTTTTTTAGAGATATTTGATATAGGGTGTGTGTGCTCACTGGAGAGAGAGACAGCCAGAAATCACCCTCCAGGGGAGAGGGCCACACTGTAATTTCTTCTCCTCCATTCTCCTCTCAGGATTTTGGGCATGCACGCCCATACGCACATGCACCCAGGTGAATTTTAAACCACAGGGTCTAAGATTCAAACCATAGTCGACTATGTGGGAGTCCAGGGACGTAACCATTACACCATCTGCTGGACCTCTGTCATGACTTTTGACAACCCAGTATCTCATCTCTCAGTTCATTCCACCAGCAATCTTCAGTTCGCACTAACATGATCTTTTCCTTTTTCCCTTCCTCCTCCCTTCTTCCAACTTCTCTTTTTAATTCTTAATATTTCTTTAGAAAAACTTTGCTTTCTCTTAAATTTCATTAATCCTACCTGATCAGGCAAAAATAGTAATAAATCTCCACCCAGGAAAAACATCACTTTTGAATAAACTTAGTAATAAGTTTACTCAGTAACTTTTAAATCACTTAGTATCATCAACTCCTTGGGTTCTTGAAAATGACTGCTATTGTCTAAAAAACCTTAAGGTTTTATATACTTCTCCATCTTCTTAAAATTATATTTTTCTAAAAACTAATCAAAATAACAGGTGAACCTGGGCCAGGAGTTGGCATGGAGGTTAAGGTGGCTGGAGTCACATAGCCGACAGTGCAGTTTGAGCCCCGGATGTTGAGGCAGACGTATGTGTGCGTGTGCCCAAAATCCTGAGAGAAGAGACTGGCATGGCCATCTGCCAAGGAAGTGACTTCTTACTCCCCCAGCCCCCCATCTCTATCCAGTGATCGTACACACTCAATAGCAAAACCAAAAAACAGGCGGAACTATAGGGTCATTACTACATTGTGTATAATAACACTTTGAAACTTCAAAATAGATGTCCCAATAAATAAAATGATGAAATTATGGCAGAGTTTCATGGTATACATCTAATAACGTGGTTGAAAGTAAATGACAATGTCAAGCAGTTGTTACATTTCTTTTGTTATTGTTTTTATTTTGAGATAAATTTTTGCTGTTCAACCACTACCCTCTTTCTTAACACTTTTTCTTTGGGTGCGTGCACTCACCGGAGAGAACATTTGGTGTAGCTTTTAAAAAAACTTTATGTGGTTGAAAGTAAATGACAATGTCAAGCAACTTTTACTGTGAAACGCTAAATATTGTAAAAGTTGATTAAATGAGATAATGGCATACTTTATTTCAATTTTGTTCTTGAGGCATAAATGTAGTATCCCTTGAATTTGCAATTTCAGTAGACAGTGACTAGAACCATAGAAATTTTAACCTAGGCAATAGCTCTAACTAGAGGAATGTATACAGAAAGGCTATGTTGACTGAAAACTAGACCTGCAGTATTTCCCAAGTAGTGAACATTACAGCCATTAACAGTAACTGAGTCTGGTAAAAACAAGTGAATTTAAGCTTCCTTTTTCCTAAGGAAATGTGTAGTCTATTTTCATTTCTACGTTATAGTAAACTACTTTTTAAAGAAAAATCATATATTATAAGTAACTTCAAATGATCTCCTAAATTTCTAGAGTGAAGATTCTAGACTGTAAGCATCTGATACGACAATCAGAAAACATGGAAATTATGGCAAATGTGAAAAATGAAATTGTAATAACAAAGCAGAATATGCTGCTGGGTAAACATCTCCATTAGACTGATATTTTTATGACGACTAAAATAAGAACTCTGACATTTACTTTTTTTTTTTTTGGAGAGGTTTCTGCTATAGGGCATGTGCGCTCGCCAGACAGAGAGAGACAGAAAGCGAGAAATCACCCCCCAGGGGGGATGGCCACACCTCAATCCCTTCTCCTCCGTTCTCCTTTAGGGATCTTGGCCATGCACACACACACGCCCGGCATGAGTTTTAAGCCACCAGGTCCGGGACATGAACCGTGGTCGACTACATGGGAGTCCAGCAACATAGCCATTATGCTAACTGCTGGTCCCAGACATTTACTTCTTAAACTATATTACTTAAAAATACTTTAGATGGGACCAGCAGTTAGCGTGATGGCTATGTCGCTGAACTCCAATGTAGTCGACCATGGTTTGAGTCCCAGACCTGGGGGCTTAAACTTATGCCGGGCGTGTGTGCGTGCATGCCTAAGAGCCCGAGAGGAAAATGGAGGAGAAGGGACTGCGGTGTGGCCATCCCCCCTGAGGAGTGATTTCTTGCTTTCTGGCTCTCTGTTTTTCTCTCTGTCTTTCTGGTGAGCACACACACCCTATAGCAAAAACCTCTCAAAAAAAACAAAACAAAACAAAACAAACTTTAGACATTATTTTATTTCTTTCATTCAGTTATGTTCAGTAGTTATTCATAAATAATTATCTAACACCTATCCTAAAGTTAAATTTATATTTATGAAGAGATATAAAAATTATATGATTGAATTAAGAAACTAGACATTTTCAGACAAATAAAAAGCTTAATGGTCCCTGTGCTACCCAAGAGTTAAAATTAAAAATAAAGCACAGGAGCTGGCAGGTGGCATGGTGGGTATGGGCACAGGACTCCCACATGGTCGAGCACAATTCAAGTCCCACACCTGGTGGCTTGCTTGTGCTCTCTCTCTCTACTTCTCTCTCTCTTTCTTGCTCCCCCTCCTCCCCACTCTGGTCAAATTTAAACAAATAAATAAAGTAAAATAAAATAATTTTTTTGGGGGGGAGAGGTTTTTTTCGCTATAGGACGTGTGTGCTCGTGAGACAGACAGAGAGAGACATAGAGACAGAAAGCGAGAAATCACCCCCCAGAGGGGATGGTCACGCCGCAATCCCTTCTCCTCCATTCTCCTCTCGGGATCTCGGGCACGCACGCACACGCACCTGGAGTGAGTTTTAAGCCACCAGGTCCAGGACGCGAACCGCGGTTGACTACGTGGGAGTCCAGCGACATAGCCATTATGCTAACTGCTGGTTCCCAATAAAATAATTTTTTTTTAAATGAGGCACTAAAGGAAAAGATTGAGAAAGAAATATTGATACATTGTCATCATCACCTGCAGTAACAAACCCTCCATTAACTGAGCATTATTATATGCAGGAAACCATTCAAAACTATTACAGGTGGGGATGGTGGCATCCACCCTATGGCAAAAACTATTTACAGGTTTTTGTCTCATTTAATTCTATCAGCAACTCTTTAACTCCTTAATTATACCATCAACTCAATTTTGCCAATGTAGAAAGTGAACCATAAAGAGGTTAAAATATTTGCTCAAAGATAGATATAAGATATTACCAATTAGTATAAGATCACTGACTTGACAGGGTGCACTGTTTTGCCCAACTGGACTTAATAAAATACATGAATAGTGAATAAGAAAATATTAAGAAGATTCAAGAGCACAAAGCATTAAAATAATGCTAATATATGTACCTAAAATAATGCAGTCACATGTAGCAAAACAAAATAAAACAAAACAATCTGAGACTCAAGTAAAAATTTTGTTCCTTATTCAAGACTTACTCTGTAAGTATAATTCTATAAACATAAGATCATCCAAACAATAGAACACTTTTCAAGAACATGAAATTGACTGGAAAACCACATTTTAGACTTCTGCATGGCTCTTTAAAATGCACTAACTGGTCTTTTAATAATATTTAACATAATTTCTAATTTGCATATAATCATTGTACATCTTTGTGGGATACAATATGGTTTTCAGAGCACATACAGAGGGTGTGATATCAAATCAATAATATAAACATTTACTATCTCTAACATTAATACATTTATCATTGCATTATGTTGTAAAAATTCACTCTACTGGCTTTTTAATTTAATATAACGCATTGCTCTATAACCTGTTATACTTGTTTACCTACGCTCTGTCTTTTAATTAACTCTTCCCTCTCCACTGCATTTCTCTCTGCTATCCAGCTACTAGTATCTACCATTATACTTTCTACTCCTTACACTCCATTAATGTACGAAGACACTTGGTAAATTTAAGTAGATATATACAGAATTTATCTTTCATAGTGTGACTTATTTCACTTAGTTATTATATCTTCTAGGTTCATCCCTTTGGCCTCAAATGACAAGTATTCATAGTTTTTGGGTTTTTTTATGGCTGAATAGTATTCACTGTGTATATATGCCACATTTTCTCCATCCAATCATTGGCTGTTGGGCGCTTAGGTAGATTCTATATCTTATTATGAATAAAATGGTACAATAAACATGGATGCGCAGATATCTCGTCAACAAACTAACTTTCTATCTACTGGATATATATCCACTAGTGAAAATACTGGGTCAAAAGATAATTCTATTTTTAGTTTTTTGAGGAACCTCCATATTGATTTCCACAGTGACTATACTAGTTTA